GAAAACACCCTCCAAAATCATCCTACACTTACCAGGCTTACTTTTACACTTTTCAAAGTTGTAAGCTGACCTGCTTGCAAACAGCGCAGCGTGCCCGTTCCCCCGGATGAAGTTGTCCGCAGGGACATTAGATATTCAACCATATTCCAGGGAAAAACTAGGGCGCACCAAAGCCGTTCAACCCATAAACAGGGCATACAAATTCTAATATTTTTAGCAAAGGCCGTACAATCTACGCCCGTGTGCTGCTAGCTAAAAGCCTGATACAGACAGTAGAAATATTACAGTCAAACTAAATATTTAATACATTTAAGTTATGTAGGGATAACTGTGACATTAGCAGTTTTTCCAAGCATTTAGGAAGAGTTCAAAGCACAGGTAAAGGCATAGCAGCAGTGAGAGCATCCAGTGGGATATTAGCTTTATTATTAACTCTTTTGTTTTTCCCCCTTCTTCTGCTCTAATATGTTGTTTTTTATTTTTTACATTATTTAGTCTTATGATTTTATCCTGCCTCTTCTGTCTATTTGTTTTGCCAAAGTCTCATTAAATTTCTCCACCGAGGGACAATAAAGGCATGACTTCTACAAATCGTTGAGCATGTTGCTGCAGTATTTTACCCCTTTTTTTCCCTTTCTGCTCATTTCCTGTCTGCACAATCAATAAGATAAAAACATAAATGCTAAAAATGAGTCTTCTCTTTATCCAGCAGGCAACAGCTTCAAAAAGCAGCAAAGGGGCCAGATAAACACCACAACTTCCAGCTATAGATGACCCAAACTTCAGAATTAGTCAAACAGAGTTATAAGAAGTCCCCAGGAGGCAAAACGTGACCAGAAAAATTAGTAATTTCTTAAATATTATTACCAGAAAGTAACGTTCACCCTGTTAATAATATAGTAACATTCCTTCAGCATCTTATTCTTCAAAAACCCTCCGAAAACCACAGCTGATAGAAAATCCCAGGCAGATCATCATATCACACATTCATCATGCAGCCCTGACTCCCACTTAGAAATAATCCCAATCCAAGGCTTCTTCTCTTGTTTTTGGTCCTGATGCGACTGAAGTGATGCAGGAAAGATTTTTTCTAATGTCCTCAATTGTATTTATATCTACCAGAGAGAAGATTACATAATAGTCCCACCAAGGATTCCTTCATGGCTAAATTCACATCCTTGTCAGCGTCAGGGAAGAATAAATAATGGCCTTAAAAAATCCTGCCTTTAGTTTTACCTTTTGTTTACATTTTATTCAGAATTTTAACCAGCCGAAGCCGAGCTATGCAACTTGGGGGGGAAAAAAAGAGGATTTATCATCTTAAGTGCAAAATGTTTATAGATTTAAGACTATTTTGGATAATTTTGCTCTCAGATGGATGTTGGCATGTGTTAGAGATTAAGCTGATGATAAATCAGTTACTATATTCACTCAGTATACATTTATTTCAATAATCTACTAAACATGATTAGTCAGATTAATTTCAGATCTGGTTTAAATGTCAGTTTTTGGTGGAAGTATCTAAAATCCTCACATTTTAATGAGCTTGTTTAGCAGAGATAATGATACATTAAATAGGAAGCAATCTATTTATGAGCTGCAGGATGGAAACATGAAGGCAGATTGAAACTGAAAGTAGAAATACGATCCAGCCTGCTTCATTTTCTCTGCCGAAGCTTCTAGTTGCTTCTCTCATAATTGATCATCGTGGAATGAATCTAAGCAGATGTCAGTCACTCTAAGCTTCACAGGAAAACTCCACACTGAAGATGATGCTGAGGAACCAGCAGGCCTCTACTAACCCCTCCCAATGTATAACACATCAGTCCAACACCTCAGCATCACTTCAAAAACATGTTCATCTTTCATCAAACAAGCGCCACAAATGATATCAGCATATATATGGGAGCCATCAGGGAGTCCAGGGACACGTCGGTGGGACAACTGTCCATCAAAATTTAGCAATGGTTGTTTTTTTTCAAACTTTTTTGCAGAATCTGGTATTTCAAGTTATGAAGAAGCCTCTCCGCTTTTGAGACCACAGTATTCTTATATTTAAAAGATTTAAAAGCGTACATTTTAGGCTTAATATTGGCTTGTTTTCAGAGATTTCCTTGTATGCAGAGGGGGCGTGTCATAGTCTGTTTCTAAGCCAGATTGTTTCCTTTGTTATTGCCCCTGCCCTCCAAGCAAACAGCATGGCTAAAGTTAGGCAGCAAAATGACCGGTGTATCAATATTCACTAAATGTTCGTCGCAAAGATTGTTGCAGACGAGCTGAACACAGGGTGTTACGCTGAGAGCTTTCTGAAGTATTTCAGACCAGCTGGATGCTTTTGAAGACGAGCTGCACTGCATCTGAAGACGATCGAACGGAGCCAATATGAAAACGAAGAAGAATATACTGGATTAGTGTCAGACGAGTTGGACTGGATGATATCAGAGGCTATATTGATAGTAACTTTTGATGGGGAAGATGACAGAGAAATGATGAAAATCCATAACTTTGACTGTAAATGCTACATGAGAAGAAAAGAGAACTCTGAGTGGAAGAAAGTCCTGTAGCAAGAAGCTTTCTCATGTTGCAGCTTTCTCACATGCAGCTGGATTCTTTAGCTGTGCAGACGCAAACTTACGAGATCCACAAAAAAGCAAAGAGTGAACGGGCCCTTATTAATTGCTTCTTTGGTAAATATTGGTAAGTGTTTCTAGATGTTGGAGATCGGCCTGTTTTCCAGTGTATTCCTGTTTCTCTGACTGTGTCTAACTGGATGTGCTCTCTTCATCCTCTGGCATGGGAGCTGGCTCGGAGCTCGTCTGCCTGGCTGTGTGTTTCCTGGACGGGGCCGCCTTCTATAGCTGCTTTTTCTATCTCTGCTTCTGTCTCCTTGAACCCCAGTGGGCCTCAGCAGATGGCCGCTCACACTGAGCCTGGTTCTGCTGGAGGTTTCTTCCTGTTCAAAGGGAGTTTTTCCTCTCCACTGTCGCTATAAGCATGCTTAGTTTGAGGGATTGCTGAAGAGTCAATGAGTTGATGCAATCAGCTGGTTTTTCCTTAGATAGAAAACTTTGAATCAATCTGACTGGATGATCTGGTGAACTGGAAAGTGACCTGAGATGACATGTGTTGTGAAGTGCACTATAGAAATAAACTGAACTAAATTGAAAATTTGTAAATCACATTTTCCAAATCAGTGAAAAAGTCTAAATATACCAGAATCCACTTGTGTCATTAGTTTCAGTGTTGGGTCACATATTGGTGCTTAAATATTATTTATTTTAGCTGAAGAAGCTCTTCATAATATTTAATTCAAAATAACAACATTTGATTTTGACACATTTTACTCAGATTTATGGAGCATTTTCAATTAAAAGTCAGTGTTTTGCTGCTTCCACGATACAACCAAATCTATTTTTGTGTGGTGTTAAGGGTCTTTGCTCAGGGACCCACAGTGGCAGGCTGTGGGAGTGGGTTTGAACTTAGAACCTCTGGGATCCAAGCACGATGCCCTAACCAATAGACCTATCTGTAATCTTGAGAAACTTGATTAAAATACTGTCATTAGTATATATTAGTAAGGAGGAAAACATAAATATGCATAATAAAGAAGGTTATAAACTAAAGGATGCCATCCAGAGACACCTGTATTTTATCCTGATGAAATGTTATAGAACAAAATAGGAAAACAACAAGGATGAAAAAGTCTGGACAGGATCTTTACACCTCCATATTAAAATCAGCTAGAATGTTGCCTGCAGCATCACAGAAGCACGACGGTGGCTCCAACCTCATCTCTATATTAGGTCTGATACCGGCAGTTAAATCAATATGATATCATCATACCCAATGTAGAAACAAAACAACTCTCCAAAATTAGAGAAGAACCACAGAACCCAGCAGCCAGTGCAGCCTGGCGCTAACAATCATCATCAACCATGAGTGCTCATCCTTTACAGGCTGAGAGCTGTTAGGCATTAAAGCTGCATGCTTCCCAGATGCCTTTAACAGGCTCACACTTTGTTTCACTGCCTTCAAGCAGCACAGGAAGGAAAGTTTCTGCAGCGCCTGCAGTGTCCACCTTACAACATCCTGTGTTCAGTCCCGTCTCTAGCTACAAGATGCAATATTTCAACTCATGCAACTAGAGCAGAAATATTTGCTACTCTTGCATCACCGTGATAGAAGCCAGTCTCTGTTTTTAGCCACAGGGGACTGTGTCATGTTTCAATCTGCCACTTAATAAATCATGAGACAAAAATCCAGTCCCAGGAAAAGTTCTAACTATGTTCTGAGCTGCATGGGATGGGCCACTTGAATATTTCATGACTAAACGGTCCATTATACTGCTAAGATCTAGGCCAAGGCCAAGACTGAATGAAGGGGGGGGGGATAACGGTCCGAGGCCAACAACGCAGAGGGTCAGGGAGGGGGGGGGGGCAGCCATCTGGGTTAATCACTGGAAAACAATAAGCATCTCCGACCATCAGATTTCTGCAGGAGTTTCTGGGCTGGATGATGAGCTAAAACAAAAAAAACAGCCTTATTTGTGTTTTTCCTTCTGCAGTTTATTAAGATCAAAGTGATGCCTGCAAAGACAAGCAGGGGGGGAAATGACGCCCTAATGTGGATCAAGTTAGGTTCAACTCCACAGCTAGCCAGGTTATGGTTAGCTGTTAGCCAATAAACTTAGCTAAAGTTTACTTTAAAGGGATGTTTTGGTGACTGAAGCTCGTATTTGGAGGCCAGAGTTGTGCTTTGACTCAGCTCCTCCTCAGAAATGCGAGTCAACACTTGACAGCGTCACATTGCGGGGCGCTAATCCCCCTGAGGCCTCCGAGTCCCCGGCCTCAATTTGACGGCCCGGGCCCCTGACAGCGCCTAATATCGGTCAGCTGTAAACGGCTTACAGGCCGGTCCCCGCCTCCTTACCCGCCTCCGGTTTACTCACAGCTAATAATGCGGCGTTAAAGCTAGCAGGACAGGCTAACTGAAGAACCCACCTCGGTTGTCGAGGTCGTAACCGACCACAACAAAGTAGTCTGCGAGCCGGGCCATGTTCGGAGCTCAGGGCGACGGGCCGCTCTCACTCAATCCTCTCGTCTCTGGGCCGTCAGGAGTCCAGTTACGTACTGCCGGCGATACAAACATCATGGGAGACAGTAGCATCCTTCCAGCTGCACTCCGCCGCCATACTGTCAATTTGCCTTGCCCTGACAGCCGAGAGAGGCGCGCATGCGCAGTGAGGAGCGACAGGGAGGGGCTGCTCAGCAAGAATGTCCCATGAGAAGTGGGGGGGGGGGCAATTAGAGAGCAAAGCCTGTGATTAAAGCAGCTTCCACTGAGCCACACAGGCAGAGGTGACGGTTAATGGCGGGTTGCAATCTAAGGTCCTCTAAAATAAATGAAGAAAAAAAAAAAAGACACATGGAGAAAACAAACAGAAACACTTCTTTATTACACATAAGTAAAGAAATAAAAGAGTACATTTCAATAACAGAACTACTACTATGTCAATACTATGTTAATATGTTAATACTTGAACATCATAAAGATCAGTGTTGCACCGATACCAGTATCGGGTGGGCCCGGGGCTCCGATCCAGCTCTAAAATAGTGGTATCGATATTGGCGAGTACCGACAAATAGGGCATTTTGAGAGTTTATTCAACTATTGTCACCCATTCCAGGTAGGCAATAAAAACTGGATTCACTTTGTTTTAGTCTTTTTCCTGCTTCACAAAGGTAGGCAGCAGCTTGACAAAGCCATGATGGCAATTATTTTACATCCAAGTAGTATGAAGTTCTTCATATACACACATCAATTTCAAACAGATGGTATCGGTATGGGCCAATACTGCACAGCCAGGTATCAGGGCCAAAAAATGGCATCATTGCAACACTAATAAAAATGATCTGATTATATTATTTGGACTTATTGACTGCACTAACCTGCGATGTGTCTTCTTTGTTTGCCTTTTTAGTTCTGAAAGGAATCTTCTGCAAACCTCAAGTTTAGCTTTCCAGCAAACACGTCCAGGTGGGACCATATGGGCCTCTCTGGATGGGCTTCAACTGGGCATGGGCTCAGATTGGGCACTGTCGCTGGGGCTCATGTGGGAGAAACCTGAGTTAACTGTCATTTGACTAGCCAGTATCGTAAAGCAACCAAAGTGCTAAACTTATTTCCATTTGGAGTTTTTTGTAAAAGTTGTTCTGTTACAAATTTCTTTAAAAGTACCCTAAATTCAGGGCCCCAGGGGACCCCTTCACCGAGCTAAAACCTCAAACATTTGATAACTTTGAATCTTCAGTGCCTTAAAGCTACAGTGTGTAATTTTCAGCGACATCTAACGTCCAGACTGCAGACCGCATCAACATGAACATCTCCCCCCACCGCTTCTCCCCCCCAACAGTACGGCGAGCGTTACGGGACAAAATGTCTTCCACGACGTCCGCATCACCTACCTTCTCAAGTGATGAGGTTTGTTTACATAGATAATTTTACAGATAGTATTTAATTAGTCTGTGTAGGGTAGAAAGTTCAGTACCGTCTCAGGTCATCTCTCTCAACTTGCCGTAGTTACTTTCGAGCGTAATGGGTGATCTCGCAATCGCTAGTTTGTTGGCTCTGCGCTGCCGTAGCGCAAAGATGTCTGCCTCCATGGCTGCGAGACCCGCTCCTATGTAATTATAAATAACGAATTCTAAGGCAACGCAAATATTAAGGTTAAGAGGCTGAGCTCGTAGATGATGATAAATAACATAGTTATGTATAATATATTACATTTTTGACTGTATATCCCTGTAATTATTACACACTGTAGCTTTAACTGCATATTGACAAAATTTGAGGCAGATGTGTCAAAATCCCTAGGAGGAGTTTGTTAAATATGGACATGAGCGAAAATGAAAAATGAGCAAAAATCACATTTTGAGCCAAAATGGCCGACTCCCTTTGGTTTCTATTCATCAAATTTACTTTTTTCATGATTTGCGGAGATCTCCTTGTGTGCCAAATTTCACTTCTCTGTGACTTACGGTTCTCTCTAACTCACTTAAGGGGGCGCTGTGGAGCCATTTTGGGGTGGCCATTTTGGATTCCATTCTAAAAAAGCGGTTTCACACAGGCACAATCGTTGGAAAAGTTTTGTGAGTTTTTGAATATGATAAGGACTCCAAATCTGATCTTTACGCACTTTATGAGGTTTATATTTGTCAGAGAAACAAAATAGTCATTATATATTCAATTAAAGTCAGGGTGTTATGATCAGCTGGAGATTACAGTGATTATAAGGAGGCATTCCAAACTGAACGTTGCAGAACTTTTCACTGAATCATCAAAATATCAACATAAACATGTAGACTAATGTTTAGCAATCGCTATTATTGCTGAAATGCAAAATCAATATTTTTAGCTGACTGCTGTGAAGGGTATGAATAGATGTTATTAAATCAATGCGGATTATGACATATCGTTTTATTTAAAAGGGGTACTTCTTTGTTATTCCTTTCAGAAATATTTGTCTCCTTGTCTAAAAGAAACAAACTTAATTGTGAAAATATTCTAAATATAGATAATATAAATAATTTTTTTCAATAGATTTGATTGAATTTTCTCTTTTTTGACACAACAGACTTACAGACAACAAACTTAACCTTGTAACTAGTATTTATACTCACTTACATTCACCATTCAAACCTGCATTTGTCTAGTTCAAAAATAAACAAAAGCCTTAAGGTTAAGGTAGAGAAAAATAACAAGGCAATATATAAATAGAAACAGTAGTCATGACATCCACTGAAAACCCCATCAATAATCTCCACCTTCAGTCCCTACGACCCCCGGGTATGGCTCCCATAGATACTCAGAGTCCCGTTATTTGCTCTTGGCAATTCTTTCTTTGCAGCTTCTTTCATCCAGAGTCCCATGGAGGGGGGGGCTCCATGCTCTTCCAGCATAGTGCAATAAATCTACTGGCTTGAAGAAGTCTGTAGTCTATCAATGGAGTTTTCCTCTGCGACTGTTTAACTTCTATTAGATATATTCCTAGAACACAGATTTTAACCTCTAATAGGACTTTCACCTTAAGCAGTTCTGAAAAACACCTAATAACGTCCTTCCAAAACTTCTGGACTTTAAGACATTCCCTAAAACAATAGAGAAGAGTTCCTTTTTCAGATGAACATTTAGTGCACGTATCTGGAATATCACTGGACATATGATGAAGCCTAACTGGTGTTATATAGGTTCTCATAAGCCGTGCCAAGTGTATATAGATAGTTTTGTATGTATTAAAATATTTTCAGCTTACACCCTGGGTTTCCATAGTGAAGCAAAACAAATCTAAAGTTGTTTCTTTGCTTTCACAAAAGGTAATTTTTTGAATTTCCTGTTTAAACATGTTTGTTTAAAATATTTGAAAAGATAAAATCATTACATCTGCCAAGGAGGTTATGTTCTCATAAGCGTTGGTTTTTCTGTCTGTTTTGAAAATAACTAAAAAAGTTAAGGATGAATTTAGCTAAAGTGTTCAGAGGAGGTGCGAACATTGACTGACAACAAATGATCAAATTTCGGTGACCATCTGGATCCCAGGGTCAGGGAATGAGCGACTTGGTGGAGGTCTGCGATCTCTGAGTGCTAATTGATGCACACAGAGAAGATGTTTTTAAAAGCTCATATAACAGAACTCCTATTTATGTTGAAAAAAACTATGACTTTCACAATTGTTTTTTAAATACTCTTTAAAGTTTGAATTCAAAAAACAAAAAGGTTAGTCTTAGTACTTCAGAGAAAAACTAAGTCAGGAAAATCCTATTGAGATACAGCATCTATTTTTCCAGCATCATAAACACAGATTAAGACATTTTTAATCATTGTTATAAAAGTTAATGGATGAAAAAAGGGTATTTAGATAGATTAATAGAAAATATAATTTTTTAGATTTATTTATATTTAAGGCAACACCATACATCACCAAAGAAAATCCCTATATAACACAGTTACACATCTTTTTGCTTCAGAGAAGCTTTAGGAAATGCTTTTCAAACATGAAGACAAGGAAGTGCCTGAAGATTAAAAACAGGAGAAAAAAAAGCAGCTGAGAAACTATTTAGGTGGAAATTAGTAGCATCTGAGACAAATGAAGGTAAAGGAAGCTGAGGGGGGAGAATAATATTCAGGAGCCTAATTCACTGAAACACAGGAAATAAAAGTAAAAAAAAAAATAAGCATGAAAACTAGTATAGCAGCACAAAATAGAAAACATAAACAGCCACCCCAAAAGTTCCCAACTGGGGATTATGATTATTATGTCAAAGTGTCTGGAATATTAAAGAACGTTAAGCATATATGTAGTTTTTTCAAAAATATTTTTGTAATTTTTTTATTACAATATATACATCAATTCAAAAGAGACAGATGTTTAAAAAAAATTGTCAGATAAAAAAACAAAACATTTTGATCTGATAAATGGACCTCTTCTTTGTTAAATATGACTTTAAAACATATCACTGTGGTTAACAGTTCAAAATATTTTTGGATGCAAAAGACAGAAACAAAACTTTAGAAAAAAA